AATAAACCACCAGAAAACCGGAAGTGGCGCTGTAGCTCAAGTGGTAGAGCACTCGCCTTGAGCTGAAGAGCTGAAGGACAGTGCCCAGGCCCAGAGTTCAAGCCCCATGACCGACAAAAAAAAAAAAAAAATTGGAGATAAGAGTCTCATGGACTTTGATGCCTAGGCTGGCTTTGTTATTCATATTTAAACTAAAATCTGTGTATCTGTGTGTTGAGTTTAGAAATATCTAGAGGACAGAAGTCTGTGTGTCTGTGTGTTGAGTTTAGAAATATCTAGAGGACAGAATAAGTTTAATTTGTAATGCTTTTAACCCTTTCAGTATTTGCCATCTTTTGTCTGACCTAAATGCTGCTGGCTGGGTTCTTGTACTAGAGATATCCTAGGTCTTAGCTACCAGGCAAGAGAAATGAAATCCCCAGAATGCGAAGTCCTAATTTAGCAATTTTAACTTGTTACAAGTAATCATTTGTTTGCTTTGTTAATCCTTTTTTTTTCTTTTTTCATTGTCTTTTAGATCCTATTGTTCAAATTGCAATTGACAATTCCAGAAATATTTTATATACACGATCAGAGAAAGGAGTTATACAGGTAATTACTTGAATTGCACTACCATTTAAGGAAAGAAAGACATCCTATTTTTTGGGGGGGGGGTCAGGTCGTGGGGCCTGAACTCTGGGCCTGGGTGCTGTCCCTCAGCTCATCAGCTCAAGGTTAGCACTCTACCACTTGAGCCACAGCGCCACTTCTGGCTTTTTTCTTTTTGCTTATGTGGTGCTAAGGAATTGAACCCAGGGCCTCAGGCATGCAAGGCAAGCACTCTACCACTGAGACACCTTCCCAGCCCAAGACATCCTATTTTAATAAGACTTAATCATTCTTACTTTTTCTATGAACTGTGTGCTTTTTAAAATAATTATTCTAAGCCATCTATTAGGGCTTCTTTTCATGAAATTTCAAATACAGTAGATCTTTGTTATCCATATGTCCGTATGGATACATGTGATTCTACAGAGATTGTCATTGAAGTAACAAATACCACAAATATCAGGACACAATTTAGTAATCTAAAATAAATTAAATTTACCTATATTATATATGTGCCATAAGTCTGAGCACTCGTCCTTTGATATTGTGTGGAGTAGGTTTCGTTCTTGTCACAAAAATAACTATTGTACATATCTGCCTACTAAGTACTGTTGTTGTTTTTTTTAATTAGTATATCTTAGTTGTAAGGTTTTATTATGACATTTCTACACATGTATACAATGTGTCCTAATCAGACCTACTTTCTCTATCACTCCCTTCTTAAAATAATTTGAACAGGTTTCCTGTATTTACATATACAAATCACTTTGACCTCATTTTTTTTTTTTTTTTTTTTGCCGGTCATGGGGCCTTAACTCTGGGTCTGGGCGCTGTCCCTCAGCTCTTTAGCTCAAGGCTAGCGCTCTACCACTGGAGCCATAGCGCCACTTCTGGCTTTTTCTGTTTATGTGGTGCTAAGGAATCGAACCCAGGGCCTCATGCTTGCAAGGCATGCACTCTACCGCTGAGCCACCTTCCCAGCCCCTTTGACCTCATTTTTAACCCTGTGTGTTAGCCCTTCTTCCTTCTACTGTTACCCTACCAATTGAGCTTGTTTTATTTTCCTTTCATCCTTTTTTATAATTGTATATTAGTTTCAGTAAGGAATTTTGCCATATTTCAGATGATCATATATTACATTTTGCTCAGAATATTCCTCTCTATTTCTTTCTCTTTCCTTGGCTCACCCACTTCCCATTATCAGTTGTTTTCATTGAAATTTCTTTCTTTTTTTTATGTTGGTCATGGAGCCTGTACTCTGGGCCTGGGTACTGTCCCTCAGCTCTTCAGCTCAAGGCTAGCGCTCTACCACTTGAGCCGCAGTGCCACTTCTGGCCTTTTCTGTTATGTGATGCTGAAGAATCAAACCTAGGGCCTCATGCATGGAAGGCAAGCACCACATGTACCACTGAGCCACCTTCCGAGCTCTTTTTTTCTTTTCCCCCGGTCATGGGGCTTGAACTCTGGGCCTGAGCTCTGACTTCATACATATTTGCAATGTACTTCAAAATTATTTACCTTTTGTCATTCTTTTTCCCTTTCTCCCTCATTCCCTTAAGTAGTCACATAGTTAAAGTTATGTTCTAAGAGTATGTATGCCTATGTGTGCATATTATATAATACAATATAAAATTTACATATTTATGCATATGCATATATGTACCTTTTGGGTCTAGCTTCCACATAAGAAAATAAAACGCGCGCGCGCGCGCGTGCATGCGGCCAGTACTGGGACTTGAGCTCTTGAGCTTAGGGCCTTGCACTCCCAGTGTGCTTCTCATAGCTTGGTAATCTACCACTTGAGCCACATCTTTATTCTTGCTCATAATAATCTCCAATTGTATCCATTTTTCTGCAGCTGGATCTTGTTTTGTTTCTAATCTCTAATAAACAAATGTTTGTTTCATTTTTCCCATGATAGTGAACAACTTTCAATAAAAACATGCCATATAAGATTTCCACTGTATCACTTAATATAAGCACATTAACTGTGTGTATGTGTTTGTTTTCTGGGGCTTGAACTCAGGACCTGGACTCTGTCCCAAACTTTTTATCTCAAGGCTAGACTTTACTAGTTGAAATAGTTCCATTTCTGGCTTTTTGGTGGTTAATTGGAGATAAGTTTCACAGACTTTTCTGCCTAGGCTGACTCTGAACCACAATCCTCATATTTCAGCCTCCTGAGTAGCTAGGATTATAGTTATTCATTCTTACCTTTTTGTGTTCTGCTTTTTTTCGGGGGAGGGGATGGAGTGGGGAGGTAAGGTGGAAAGGCATGTTTTCACCAAATTAAAGTTGAGAAAGCACTTAGTATGTGTCACAGAGATTTAAATATATCTGATGATAAGAGAAGATGAGCTAAGAGCTTCTCTTGTGTCAACTGAGTTGTATATTGAGCCAGAAAGAGTTTCAAGTTTTTATTTTTGAAATTCCTTTGACATTTAAAACTTTATTATTTATTTTTGGCAGTACTTGGTCAGAATGACATGGAACCACAGATACAGTGCAGGCTTACTGTTTCTTAATTAAAATACCCATATTAAGTACTGAAATTAAAGGATCCTTAGGAAAAGTTTGCTAAAAGAATGTATGCAGTGACTAATCTTGTTTATAGGAAAACAACTTTTTACCTACAGGTTTATGATTTGGGCCATGATGGGCAGGGTATGAGTAGAGTTGCCTCAGTGTCACAGAATGCTATTGTCTCTGCTGCTGGAAACATCGCTAGGTAATGTGTTATTTATTTTTTAACGTTCCATTTATAGGCATAATTATACTATTTATGTGATGAAGTTATTTCCTCTAAATGGATTTTAAAGATGAAGACAGTGGAAAAGATAACTAGATTATATCTGAAACAGCTGTTAGAAATTTACTCTTATGTTGCTGATTTGGAAATGCAGGTTAATTTTAGTGTTTGAAATACAGTAGGTTGTTAGATGCTTTCTTGGAACTTATTTACTTTTGGGGTGCTAGCAAGGAAACCCAGGGTTTTGTGTCTATTAGGCAAGCATTCATGATCTATCCTCTATCTAAATTCTCCAATTGTGGGTGCTTCGTTTCATTTACTCATTGTCTTTTTTTTAATGAGCCATCTGCAAGTACATTGCAGTTATCAGGTTCACCTTCCATTGTCTAGGTAGGTCTCATCTATTACAATATGTGACAGTAATTCCATATATCTGCCTTTATATTACAATTATATGATTACATAGCTCATGCTAAAATTTCCCAAGTAATCATTTGTAGCTGTTTTTCTTATTTATTACCTGCATTGGTTATTAGTCTCTTTACTACGGAACAGCCCCTCTTGTTGCTTTTCTTTGTAATGTTAGCATTTTTAGAGGTAGGGTCAAAATATCTTGATTTCTGAATTTTCTTCTTTTTCTTTTAACTATATACTCTATAATTTTTAGTTATTTAGTTTTAAATTTTTTATTTTTGGTGCCAGTACTGGAGATTAAACTCAGGGCATAGACACTTTCCCTGAACTTTTTGTGTTTAAGGCTGATATCACTTGAACAATACCTCCACTTGTAGCTGGTTAATTGGACATAGAGTCTTAACAACTTTCTTGCCTCTGTTGCCTTTGAACTGCATTCTTTAGATCTTACCCTTTGGAGCAGCTAGGCTTACAGATGTGAGCCACTGGCACCTAGCTTTCAGTAATACATTTATTTAGTATTTTTAGGTAGGTGATGTGAACTAATAGCTAATAACTCTCATTAAGAATTAATCTTTTTTTACAGTGCTAATTTGGTGCTCTGAGAACACTGTTCCTCCACCAGCTACTCGCATAATGGTTTTAGACTTTGTTAAAAGATGTACTCTAGAGTTTTTTCCAGTTTTTTTCCTATTGAATTACCTTACTAAGAAGCCTAGTAAGCATGACTCCCAAGGTACCACCCCCCCAAAAAAAAAAGTAGTAATCAATCTTAGATTGGAATATTTAGACTTGTAAAATTACTGATAAAACATGGATCTGGTAAATTAGTAGACATGGTTTTAAAAAAATATACCTTATTTTTCTCTTTATTTTAGGACCATTGACCGTTCTGTTTTTAAGCCAATTGTTCAGATAGCAGTGATTGAAAATTCTGAATCATTGGACTGTCAGTTATTGGCTGTTACTCATGCAGGTATATGGGGTATTTTTGCTTATGTGTTTGCTATTGATTTTTTATTTTTTGGTAATCCTTAGATGTAGATATTTGTAATTAGAAATGTTTTTTACTTTATCAGATATCAACTATATTAGTAATCCATAAAATTAAAGATTTGAAAAAATGGAAGATTCCTCTGATTCCATGTGCTCACTTTATGGATAAAAACTGAAAGAGTAGATCATATTCTGACAGAACTTGAGCTGGAATGTAGCTCCCCTTGGCTTGTTCTGGGTTCTTTTGTATGGAAATCTGTTTACTCACCTTTCATTCTTAAGCTTCATTTTTTTAGGAATTTGTTTCATCTGATAGTTCAAATGGGAATTGGGTCTGTGGGCGCACACACACGTGTGAGGGTGTGTGTATACACACGCATGTGAGCACACATGCATATGCATGTGACAACACTAGGGCTTGAACTCAACTCTTGCTTAGGTTTTTCATTTCTGCCTGGTGCTCTACTACTTGAGCTATGCTACAAGTCTGGCTGTTTTACTGGCTTTTTTTTTTTTTTAATGAAAATAAGAATCTTAATGATTTGTCTGCCTAAGCTAGCTTCAAACTTCAATCCATAGATCACAGCCTATGGGTAGAATTATAGGCATGAGTCATGACCCATATCATTTGAGAGTTTAAGATCAGTGAAGAAAGTAATGTTTTGACAGAGTTCTGTGTTAAAAGCTTCAATGTATGTATTTTTCAGATCCTTTACTAACGTATAATATTATTCTGTCATTAGGTGTTAGGTTATATTTCAGCACTTGTCCATTTAGACAGCCATTAGCACGGCCTAACACACTCACACTGGTTCATGTCCGCTTACCTCCTGGATTCTCGGCATCTTCAACAGTGGAAAAGCCTTCAAAAGTACATAAAGCTCTTTATAGTAAAGGTAAGCTCTGAAATAGTAACAAATTTAAGATTAGATTTTTTGGGGGGTGGGGGGGTGGTCATGGGGCTTGAACTCTGGGCCTAGGTGCTGTCCCTCAGCTCTTCAGCTCAGGGGTAACACTCTCCCACTTAAGCCACAGCACCACTTCTGGTTTTCTGGTGGTTAATTGGAGATAAGAGTCTCACAGACTTTCCTACACGGGCTGGCTTTAAACCATCATCCTCAGATCTCAGCCTCCTGAGTAGCTAGTATTACCAGCATGAGTCACTGGCACCCGGCTTAAGATTAGATTCTTAGACTTCAGTAGTTTTTAATGTCTAAGTACTTTATTTTTATTTAACCTGCCTAGTAGCTTAGTAAATGAACACATTTGTGAATATCAGTGTCATATCCAGTATAGCACTTTGAACTTTCTTCCTTTAATATAATCAGAAATCTTAGATTTCTTCTGATACCTTCTCTGTGGAGCTAGTGTCTTGATGAATGAATAGAACTTCAGATACAATAATAAAAAAAATCTTGATGACAAACTCTTACAGTTTTCAGGTGCCTGTGGCTCATGCCTGTGATCCTAGCTATGCAGGAGGCTGAGATCTGAGGATCACGGTTCAAAGCCAGTCCAAGCAGAAAAGTATGTGAGACTCATGTCTGATAAACCACCAGAAAACGGGAAATGGTGCTATGGCTCAAGTGGTAGAGCACTAGCCTTGAGCTGAATCGCTGGGACAGTGCCCAGGCCCAGAGTTCAAGACATGACTGACAAAAAGAAAACAAAGAACAACTCCTTACAGTTTTTTATTAGTTTACATTAGTTTTTTCCAGGGGGAGTTGCAAGTGACATTTCCATACATTCATATTTCCATACGTTTGTACAACTTATCTTGATCACATTCATCTCCCCTATCCTTGTCCCTTGATCCTTTCAACCGTTTTCATTATCATTGACCTTCTGATTTGCCTACTTCCCCTTCTTCACCCCCCTAACAGAGCCTGTTTCTGTTCCCTGCTTATGACAAAAGTCTCTAGGATTCAAAAATTAAATCATCCTTTCTTTCTTTGTGTGTGTGTGTGTGTGTGTGTGTGTGTGTGTGTGTGTGTGCCGGTCCTAGGGCTTGAACTCAGAGTCTGGGCACTGTCTCTGAGCTTTTGATCGAGATGAACACTCTTATCACTTGAGCTACAGCACCACCTCTGGCTTTTTCTGAGACTTTTCTGGTGGTCTGGCTTCAAACTACAATCCTCAGATCTCAGCCTCCTGAGTAGCTAGAATATAGACATGAGCCACCCGTGCCCAGCATTAGTTTGAAAATTTTTTGTTGTAATTAGACATCAGCACTTAGAAAATTGACATGTGCTTTTTACAATTATGAGAAAGCATTTCTTATATAATTGTTTTAATTTTATAATCATTCTAAAGCCTTTACAATGTTTATTCTCTCTCAACATTTTGTATGGTCCAAAACTCAAATGAAACTTGCCTTTGTGAAGAGAATCTTTTTCAAATGCATTCTATTAAGTATCATCATAGTATTCAACTTTTATTGACAGAAAATTAACTTACTATAAAAATAGCTTTTCCGGGGCTGGGAAGGTGTCTCAGTGGTAGAGCACTTGTCTTGCATGCATGAGGCCCTGGGTTCAATTCCCCAGCACCACATAAGCAAAAAGAAAAAAGCCGGAAGTGGCGCTGTGGCTTAAGTGGTAGAGCACTAGCCTTGAGCTGAAGAGCTGAGGGACAGCGCCCAGGCCCAGAGTTCAGGTCCCACGATCGGACCCAAAAAAAAAAAAAAAAAGCTTTTCTTTCTACCTCAATGTTCATAATCTAGTACAAGGTCCTGGACATGTTTGGCAAGTACGATGCCACTGAGTTATATATCCAGCCATTATTTGTCAAAATACGGTCTTGCTATGAGCACAGGCTGTCCTGGAACTCACAATCCTGCTGAAACCTCCCAAGTTCTGAGATTACTAGAGTATGCTCTAATGCCTAGCAATAAATTTAGCATTTAATGTATAAGATTTAGTGGTACTTACTTACTCAGGGTTGTACAATTGTCTTTACTATTTTTTAAATAAGGTATTAAGACCACATGTTATTTAACCTTGTACAATAAGATTTGGTATATTAAACTTTTAGGTATTCTACTGATGACAGCTTCAGAAAATGAAGATAATGACATTTTATGGTGTATCAACCATGATACATTTCCTTTCCAAAAACCAATGATGGAAACTCAGGTAAATAAATTATCCTGAGAAATTTAGTAAAGTGTGTGTGGCTAAGGATTGAACTCAATGAGCTACACATACCGGGCAAGCAGTCTAACAGTCTCATCTCACTCTTTTTTTTTTTTTTCCTTTAATTTTTTGATGTCATGGGGCTGAACTGTGGGCCTGGTCACTGTCCCTCAGCTCTTCAGCTCAAGGTGAGAGCTCTACCACAAGCCACAGAGCCACTTTCAGCTTTTTTTTGCTTATGTGGTGCTGAGGAATTGAACCCAGAGCCTCATGCATGCGAGGCAAGCGCTCCACCACTGAGCCACCTTCCCAGCCCATCTTCTCACTCTTGAGCCACATAAGTGAGGAACTTTATCTTCTTATTTATAGCTGTTTGTCTAGTAATATATGACTAGAAATCAGGTTGAGAAGAATTATATCTTGTTGCTAGCCTCCAGCAAAAGAAGCTCAGGGACAGTACTCAGACCCTAGGTTCAAGCCCAGGACTAGCTAGATAAATAAATAAATAATCTCCATTACTATTATTGAAATTGTGGCAGTTATTTTATTAGATATCTATAAGATAGTTATCTATGTAATAGTTTTTCTATTGGTGTTTTGTAGTTTTATCTGACTTAAATCAATTTTTTTTTTGTATATGTCCATCCTGGGGATTCAGCTCTGGTCCTGGGCACTGTCCATAAATTTTCTTACTGAAGGCTAGCACTCTACTACTTGAGCCAAAACTCTACTTCTAGTCTTTTTTGGTAGTTAATTGGAGGTAACAGTTTTGTGAGGTTTCTATTTCAATGCTAATTATAGCTTACATTAGGTTTTTCTTTCTTCATATACCAACATACATACAATATACATTTGTATTTTAAAGACAAATGAATTGGATGTGGTCATCCTGGTTGAGGGGTCATGCTGCCTGCCATGAACTCTCCTTAACCCATCCATTCTACTCCCTGGCCCATGGCAAACTGAACAGCCACCTCTTCTTCCTTTGGTGTTCTCTGCCCACCCCATGTCCTGCTCGTTACCCCTGTGAAGCCCAGACTTGTTTATCAAATCGGATCAAACAGCTCCAGTGGGGTATAGATAGATGAGATGCTCTCTCTGTGTAGCCATCCCTTCATAGACATTTTGATTCTGTTCTTCACTGCTTGCTTTCTGGTCAATCTCAAACTTGATCTTTTTCATTTATGGAAAAAATATATGTAAGTTTTTTTTAAGTGTGTGTAAGTGTGAAGAGGTAAAACCCTATTAGGGATGAGGGTGTGGTGCGCATGAACCCATCAATATTTCTGACCTGATTGAAGGAGTTAGGGAAGGAGATTGAGGTAGATAAGGAGGTTAGGAGTGCCTTTCTAATATATATTTTTTTCTTTTTCACTTTACTAAGCACCTTCTCTGAATCCTGTGTGCAATACAATGTAAGAATTCAAGGCTCAGTAAACTACAGTCCCTGTCCTGATTAGGAGGATGGAGGAATAAATCAAGTTTATAGTTTATCTTAAAGTTTTACTTTTCTGGGGCTGGGAAGATGGCTCAGTGGTAGAGCGCATGCCTTGCATGCCTGAGGCCCTGGGTTCGAATCCTCAGCACCACATAAGCAAAAAGAAAAAAGCTGGAAGTGGCGCTGTGGCCCAAGTGGTAGAGTGCTAGCCTTGAGCTGAAGAGCTGAGGGACAGCGCCCAGGCCCAGAGTTCAGGCCCCACAACCGGACCCAAAAAAAAAAAAAAGTTTTACTTTTCTTCTCTATTATAATTTTAGATTGTTAGTAACCTGAGCACAATGGCTTGTCCTTATATTAACAAAACTGGGTACACTGAGGCCAGACAGTCTGGAGTTTGAGAGCAGCCTGGCTACATATTCATAGCAAGATCCTGTCTTTAAAAAAAAATGAATAAAAGAAAACATAAAATCTACATGTATCTAGAGCTTCAAGTCTGTATATTTTTCTTCTCAGAAGCTTTATGTATTTCAATAAGATGTGTAAACAGTTTTTTTTTTTTAATTATATAGATGACAACTCGTGTTGATGGTCATTCCTGGGCTCTTTCTGCAATAGATGAATTAAAACTTGATAAAATAATTACACCTTTAAACAAGGATCATATTCCAATAACTGACTCCCCAGTAGTTGTACAGCAGCATATGTTGCCTCCAAAGAAGTTTGTTCTCCTCTCAGCACAAGTATGTACATATTGTTAAAGGTAGATATAAAAAGAAAGTACTACTAAATATTAAGTATTTGAATTTTAGTTTATTATTATTATTGTTGGTTGTTTTGCAGTACAATGGATAAAACCCATGAATCATTTTTTTTTTAAATGGTACCAATGCTGTATATGCTACCTGTCTTTAAGTCACTTATCAAGTTGATTATTACAGTGTTTGTTTATAGGGTTTGGTAATATCTGTCCACTATTACTGCTACAGTCATATGAGGACTTGGAATGTATTTTCTACAGTTCTGTTGAGTTGTCTTTTTCATCTTGGAATCAAGATTTATGTATCAGGAAAACCAAATTTTGTTATTTTGAGCCTCAACTACTTTTGTTGATTTGTCATTTGACTTTGTTTATTGAATTTTTTCTATATAAGTAAGGTTATTATAAATAATCAAAATGAACAGATAACTTACGGAATTTATATCTTTTCTTTTTTTTTTTTTTTTGTCGGTCGTGGGGCTTGAACTCTGGGCTTTGGCGCTGTCCCTGCGTTCTTCAGCTCAAGGCGAGTGCTGTACCGCTTGAGCCACAGCGCCACTTCTGGTTTTACTAATGGTTTACTGGAGATAAGAGTCTCACGGACTTTCCTGCCCTGCCCGGGCTGGCTTTGAACCCCTATCCTCAGATCTCAGCCTCCTGAGTAGCTAGAATTTCAGGTCTGAGCCACTGGCGCCCAGCCTGGAATTTATATCTTTTTAAATTGCTTCTTCAGGGAAGTGAATTTACCTATAGTTTTTCTTTTTACTACCATAGTTTGCTTTTGTCCTTCAAATCTTGGATGTGTTTGGAATTTATCTTGGTATAACGGGATGAGTATAGATCCAGCTTTTTATTTTTGTCTGGGTGTGTATTTATATGCTAGTATGATTAGTGAACACTCATTAACGAACACTCTTTATCATTATTGACATTTTAATTAAATTCTTTGGTTTATGGAACAACATCCCAAAAGTATTGTTTTGTTTTTCAAATTTTTCTCAGTATAAATATAGGTTGTTAGGTGAAATGCAGATTTTTTTTTTTTGATCAGTTTATTTTGTATTCCTAATGTTCCTTTTTGGTTTATTTGAGAAGGGGACTGTGTTACCCACGCTGGCCTTTCACTCCTGGGTTCAATATACCCCCTGTCCCAGCCTCCCAAGTAGCTAGGAGTAAAGGCTCATGCCTTATCTGGCTTTATTAAATAAAGTAGCAGGATCAATTACTACCAGTGAAATCTGTCTGTCACTCATATTCTTTCCTTTTTAATTTTTTAGGGGAGTCTTATGTTCCATAAACTTAGACCTGTAGATCAACTGAGGCATCTACTTGTGAGTAATGTGGGTGGAGATGGAGAAGAGATTGAAAGATTTTTTAAATTACATCAGGTAATTGTTTATTTTTGGTTTATTTTCATTGGTTGCAGAGCTTGAGCTCAGGATTCGGGTACTGTCCCTGCGCTCCTTTACTCATGGCTAGTACCATACCACATCACAGCCTTTCCTGATTAGGCTGGCTTTGAACACAATCCTTAAATCTCAACCACCTGAGTAGCTAAGGATTACAGGCATGAGGCACCAGTGCCTGGCTATTTTTAATGTGATATTTTGAAGAATGAGAGTGGGAATTGGTGTTAAAACTATATATGTAGGTTAGGACTAAAATATTGTAATAATCTGGTTTTCTTTGTTTACCTGAGCTACTATATTGATACTGACAAAAGGCAGAATTAATGTTAAAACACTTTCAGTTTTCATTAGTGATACTGATAAATTTTTATTAAAGCATCTTTTTTTTTTTTTTTTTTGGGTCCGGTAGTGGGGCCTGAACTCTGGGCCTGGGCGCTGTCCCTCAGCTCTTCAGCTCAAGGCTAGCGCTCTACCTCTTGAGCCACAGCACCACCTCCGCCTTTTTTCTTTTTTGCTTATGTGGTGCTGAGGAATCAAACCCAGGGCCTCAGGCATGCAAGGCAAGCACTCTACCACTGAGCCATCTTCCCAGCCCCTATTAAAGCATCTTAAAAAGTGTCCAATGTTGAAAGTATCTGATAGATGATTTTTTTGTTTGTTTTTTTTGCTGGTACTGTGGCTTGAACTCAGAGCCTGGAAGCTGTCCCTGAGCTTTTCTTTTTCCCTGAATTTTTTTTTTTTTTTCAGAGCTTGTGCTCCACTTGAGCCACAGCTCTACTTCTGGCTTTTTGATGATTAATTGGAAATAAGAGCCAAAGCTTTTCCTCTTTGGGCTGGCTTTGAACTATGATCCTCAGATCTCAGCTCCTGAGTAGCTAGGATTACAGATGTAAGCCCCTGGCGCCTGGCTGATGTGTTTTTATTAAAAGCCCCAGACATTACTATTCTGACCATGTACACAGACAAACTTTATGACATAATAAGAAATTCAAGACAATAATTTAAGGACATTAGATTTGAAAGCAATAAGTAGAATTGAGGAAGCTGCAACTTGGAGTGCTTAGCTTAATTAAGTACACAGCCAGTATGTATCTCAGCTCCATCAATGAATAACTTACCTGAATTCTCTGGGTTTCAGGGTGGATTTTTTAAAATGTAAAATATACATTACATGGCCATACAGTGTGCTATAAGGATTAATATTTGCCAAATTCTTAAGGTAGTGCCTAGCATATGTTGGGTACTCAATAAATATTAGCTCTTACTGATAATTTTCTTTTTTCTCTAATTTTTTTTTTTTTGGGTCCGGTTGTGGGGCCTGAACTCTGGGCCTGGGCGCTGTCCCTCAGCTCTTCAGCTCAAGGCTAGAGCTCTACCACTTGAGCCACAGCGCCACTTCCAGCTTTTTTCTTTTTTGCTTATGTGGTGCTGAGGAATTGAACCCAGGGCCTCAGGCATGCAAGGCAAGCGCTCTACCACTGAGCCTCCTTCCCAGCCCCTAATTTTATTTTTTAAGCTGTCATGGTGCTTGAACTCTCAGGGCCTGGGCACTGTCCCTGAGCTTCTTTTGCTCATAGCTAACACTCTGCTACTTGAGCCATAGCGTCACTTCTGGCTTTTTCTGTTTTTATTTTTTGGTGGTTGTGGGGCTTGAACTCTGGGCCTGGGTGCTGTTCCTCACTCTTCAGCTCAAGGCTAGTGCTCTACCACTTAAGCCACAGCGCCACTTCTGGCTTTTTCTGCTTATGTGTGCTGAGGAATCAAACCCAGGACCTCATGCATGCAAAGCAAGCATTCTACCACTGATCCACTTTCCCAGCCCCATGGCTATTTCTGTTTATGTGTACTGAAGAATTGAACCCAGGGCTTAATGCATGCTAGGCAAATATTCTGCCACTAAGTCACATTCTCAGTCTCCAGTAATAATTTTATTGCTAGTTACTTGTAATGATTTTTGGCTAAACTTTGAAACCAATGTTGCCCACTTGTTAATAACAACTGATTTATTCAGTCAGTGGTTACTTACTAAGCACCTTTCTTTGTTCTATGCATGGATTTTGTTCTGAGAATAGCAAGAACAAAACTTTTTTTAATTCTTTTTTTTTTTTTGAATAAAACTTTTTAAAAAAGATGCTGGTATGGGAACATAACAGTGAAACCTCTTGATATTGTTTTAAGAAGGGGAGAAGTAGTAAGCCAAAAGAATAGAGGAAGTGATACTTTGGGATGTATACATTGTTTGGGATACATTGTATACAAGTATGGAAATGTTACAATGAAACCTCCCTTATACAAATAAGGTATGCTAATAAAAGTTAAAAAACCAGGGCCTTGGTAGCTCACATCTATAATCCTAGTTATTCAGGAGTCTGAGATCTGAGGATTGAATTTCAAAGCCATTCTGGACAGGAAAGTCTGTGAAGCTAGAAGTAGAGCTGTGGCTCACATGGTAGAGCTCTACCATGTGATAGTGGCCAAGCCCTGAGTTCAAGACCCAGGACTGGCATAGAAGGAAGTAACTGATTAATTAAATTTAAGTATTTATGCTTAGCCAAGATATTTTTGGATTTTTACAGGAAGACCAGGCTTGTGCAACTTGCCTTATCCTTGCTTGCTCTGCTGCTGCCTGTGATAGAGAAGTGTCTGCTTGGGCTACACGGGCTTTCTTCAGGTACATGTTAGGAGTATTTTTGTACTGGGCCACTTTTTAAAAATGTTAATTTGCCAGTGTGACTGTTGAAGGCCTTGCCAAATGGTTGAATGACTAGGAAAATTATTAAAATTCACCTGCAAAAGAATGAAATCTTAAATTATGCTGACGGATAGTGATATTAGCATAATTTATACAGTGTTACTCTGTGTAGGGTTTGCTGTCAACTTTAATTTTTTTGTGGTACTAGAGTTCAGTTTGAAGCTTTTTCAATGATTGGCTGGCAATCTGCCACTTGAGCCATGCTTCTATCCCTGCCTTTTGCTGGTGATTTTGTAAGTAGAGTCCCATAGACTTTTCTACCAAGCTGGCTGTGAAAGTCAATCCTCTGGACCTCACCTTTCTAAGCAGCTGTATTGTGAGTGTGAGCCACTGGCACCAGGCAGTTCTTTAATTAAATTTCACTATTTACATTTTTTGTGCCAGTACTGGGGCTTGAATTCAGGGCCTTGCATTCATTTTTTTTGGGGGGGGGTCCGGTCGTGGGGCCTGAACTCTGGGCCTGG